GACGAGTTAAATGTTTGGTTAATATGTCGGGTCTGAAAGCCGGTGCTTCTGTACGGCGACGCCCTGATCACATATTTTCCACTCCAATGACTAAAATATATAGTTTTGATATGCATTTAATTTAACAACAATTTACTAATCTATATATTGTATTATTATTTACTCTTCTAAACAATGAGCGGCCGTTAAAACCCAATTCATAGCAATCAATACACCGGAACAGCTCTTCTCGTCAATAATATTGAAAATTCTAAAGTGAACACTAACTGCCCATGGTGCTTGCAATGGTTTGCCAGATACCACAGCGTCCTCGCCATCCGCTACACGGCTTGAAGTGATGTCCGGTTTGTTCATATGATAGTAGACTTCTTTGTCCAGTATTTGTATCATTGAATGATTGGTTTGAAAGCATTTCTTAGGAAAATTTATATTAACTAAAATCGGTTCATATCTTAGACCGCATTCATCCGTATTTATGCCATATTTCTGGTGATTCTTGTAATCGCCTTTCGATACAAACTCTGCATTCATTTCTGCAGTCAATTGTGAGATAATAAATATCTTTACAATGAAATCAAATTTATTCATATTTAAACGAATTCATTTGTGAGAAATGGCTGCAAATGATTAATTTTATGTAATCATAACGGAAAAATAATAATAAAACCCAAAACTCAATTATTTTGAAATAAAAGTTGAAACGCAAGAAATAAATAATGCAAAACATTTGTTAAAATATCTATTGTTATCATTTGTTATGAGATGACTAGTGTTCACAGTTATCTGTTAAAACATATAAAACCATATAAAACACACTAAATTTAAAAATAATACAACTTGGTTTTATTAATAAAACCACATAAAGCCAGATTTTGGGAGTTGTAAATGTATATAAGGTGACAAAATATCCCATATTTTTGTGAGTGTTTTTAAAATTATTTGTACATTTGTTAATAGTTTTGTACGTTTAATTGTTTAAGGTAAATAAAATGGCAAAAAGAAAACAACCTCAAATAAATGGATTAAATTATATTCAGATTTGAGGGTTAAAGACAATACAATCACAAAATCTGATATTATTAAACCATATAAAACCATATTTTTCAAAAATTATTGATGAACCACCATTAAGCACCAGTTTATTATTACAAATAATAAAACCATATAAAACACACTAAATTTACAAAAATAATAAAACCATATTTCCGTGAACACTAGAGATGACTAGAAAATTAAAACGCTTATTACAATATTTCTTTTATTATATAGATTTTAATTTATGTTATTCAAGTTATATTTCGCTATTTTGTAATGATATTAATATTCAAATACTTTTTCTATAATACATTTCTATGGGAATCTATGAAAATCCATGTTAAAATGATTGTCAAAACTAAATAATTTTTATAGACACCCAAAATATACTGCCTTGATGCTTTTGCACAGACAAAAGTAATTTTTTGTACAAAATGAAAATGAAAATTGATGTGTTCAAAGCAATGAATCAAATATTACTTTTATCTAAAGTTAATTTTTTCTGTGACTACAGCATTAAGAAAGCATTTTTTAAATGTCTATAATAATTGTATATAAATTACTAAATATTTATGAAGTATTGTTTGCAATGGTATCCAAAATCCATTGTATTTGACGCGATATATTGATGGCAAATGTCCGCCGTTTCCCGCATAGCTTACCACCGCTTGCATCAGATCCTAAATGGCTGCCCAACACTACCGCTTCAGTGCCGTACCGGTCGTTATAGCCTATCCAACCGCCGCCAGAATCACCCTTTTATTTATACAAATATATAATTATTAATTACTAACATGTTCAAATACATGCGACAATAATACTGTGCCATACCCTACATGTCCGGCCTTTCTTATACGACCCGCAGAGGATAGTATTGCCAAAACTCAGAGCACACGACGATCGGGTCACCGGATCGACGGACCACAACTCCACCACAGCTTTCTGTAGTTTATCGGCAACTGATATATAGCTCTCGTCGGTGTAACCAAAACCAAATACCGTCACATTTCCCGAAGTGAACGTACGGTTCGCTTCGGGCAGACATACGGTGTTTATAGAGTAGTGTCTCTTTANGTTTATCGGCAACTGATATATAGCTCTCGTCGGTGTAACCAAAACCAAATACCGTCACATTTCCCGAAGTGAACGTACGGTTCGCTTCGGGCAGACATACGGTGTTTATAGAGTAGTGTCTCTTTAGTGTGCGGTCCCGAAGACGATCAAAAGGTTTGTCCGTTTGAATCAAAGCCAAGTCCGCACCGCTCGACGAGTTAAATGTTTGGTTCACGTGTCGGGTCTGAAAGCCGGCGCTGGCAAAGGGTGAGGCCCTGATCACTGTTTTTCCAATCCAAGAGCTATTCATATAAATTTTAATCAATAAATACTAATTGGTAAATTGTATTATCACTTACTCGTCAATACAATGGGCGGCAGTTAAGACCCAATTCGTTGCAATTAATACACCGGAACACAAGTCTGTGCTTATAACGCCCAGTGCCCTGAAGTGAATACTAACTGCCCATGGTGCTATCAAAGGTTTACCCGGAACCACTGCGTCCTCGCCATCCGTTATACGACTTGAAGTGATGTCCGGTTCGTTCATATGATAGTAGACCTCTTTGTCCAGTGTTTGAATCATTGAGTGATTGGTTTGAAAACATTTTTTCGGATAATTTATATTAACTAAAATGGGTTCATATCTTAGACCGCATTCATTGGTATTTATGCCATATTTCTGGTGATTCTTGTAATCGCCTTTTGATACAAACTTTGCATTCATTTTTGCAGTCAATTGTGAGATAATAAATATCTTTATAATAAAATCAATTAAAAATAGTTTATTCATATTTAAAGTCAAACACAAATTCATTTGTGAGAAATGGTAGCAAAAGTATAAAATAGATTTTATGTAATCATAACTGTCTTTATAACTAAAACTCAAAATAAAATTCAAAAGTTTCTTATTTCCAAATAAGAGTTAAAACTCGAGAAATAAATAATGCAAAACATGAAATGTTTTTAAATGTTGTGACAAATTTGGTTGTCTAGAAAATTATTGATAATTAAACAACGTGTAAAAATTGACTGTTTATTTTATTAACATTAATATTTTTACATATCTTATTTAATTTCTGTACCGCTATTTGCATACAATATTAAATATTTACTATTTTGTATACATTTTGATGGAAATCTATGAAAGGTTTGTTAGAATAATTATAAAAAGGACCAAATTTTTAATATTTAATTTATAGTAAATTTTACTCATCATATTTAGGTTAGGATAACATAACACTAGTGAAGATAATTAGAAGTAAATTTATATTAATATTACAGAATTTTATGGATTGTTTGCAATGGTATCTAAAATCCATTGTATTTCTAAGGATACAGAAACGGCAAAAGCCTTTTGTTTGGCGCAAATACCCCCTCCTTTTAAATCAATCGATTTAGTAATGCCCACAACAACCGCTTGAGTCCCATATCGATCATTATACTGAACCCAACCGCTGCCCGAATCACCCTTTAATTCAAGCAAATATACAATTAACAACTCGTTTAAAACATTTGTGCCAAATATATACCTGACATAACCGGCCTTTGATAGTTGAGCCGCAGATTGTATTATTATAGTCACACCAGTCGTCAAACGCCAAATCCCAGTACCAGAGCTCGAGTACAGCCTTTTGTAGTTTATCGGCCAACGGCGGGAAAATAGTGTAGTTTTCGCCGACAAAACCAAAACCAAAAACAGTCACATTTCCCGAAGTGAACGGCAGATTCATTTCCGGCAGACATACGGTGTTTATAGAGTAGTGTCTCTTTAGTGTGCGGTCCCGGAGTCGAGTGAAGGGTCGGTCCGTTTGAATCAAAGCAATGTCCGAACCGCTCGACGAACTAAATGTTTGGTTAATATGTCGGGTCTGAAAGCCGGTGCTTCTGTACGGCGACGCCCTTATCACATATTTTCCGTACCAACGGCTATATTATGAACACAACCAAATTAATGAAGGTATTTGTACCACAATTTCCTGTAGTTCTCTTAATAATGGTTAAACACATACCTATCAATACAATGGGCGGCCGTTAAGATCCAATTCATAGCAATCAATACACCGGAACAGCCCTCGGAGTCTATAAGAGTGAGAAGTCTAAAGTGAATGTTAACTACCCATGGTGCTTGCAATGGTTTGCCCCTCACCACTGCGTCCTCGCCATCCACTATACGACTCGATATAATGTTTGGTTCGTTGAGACGATAGTAGACCTCGTCGTCCAATATTTGAATCATTGAATGATTGGTTTGAAAGCATTTCTTCGGATAATTTATATTAACTAAAATCGGTTCATATCTTAGACCGCATTCATCGGTATTTATGCCATATTTCTGGTGACTTTTGTAATTGCCTTTAGTTATAAACTCTTCATTTATTTCTACATTTATTTCTGCAGTCAATTGTGAGATAATAGTTATCTTTACAATGAAATCAATTAAAAATAATTTATTCATATTTAAAATGAAACACAAATACATTTGTGTGAAAAGGCAGCAAAACATTGAAATAGATTTAATATAATTATAACTGAAAAATAATGACATAACTCAAAAATTAATTGCATTCAAATGAAAGTTAAAACGCGAGAAATAAATAAAGTAAAACATGAGTTACTACTATTGAGTTATGAAGTATTGTTTGCAATGGTATCCAAAATCCATTGCATTTCATGCGATACATTGATAGCAATTGCCAACCTTTTGCCACAAATACCTTTGGAATCTCTATCAGTAGATTCTGTTACGCCCGACACCACCGCCTGAGTGCCGTACCGGTCGTTATAGTGTATCCAACCGCTGCCCGAATCACCCTTTAATTCATACAATTATAAAATAAATAAATCATTTAAAACTTATAATTATACCGATTATACCCGACAGAGCCTGCCTTTGATAAACGTTGCACAAAGATACCCAATGCCATAATTAAGGTTACACCACCGGCCAGTCACCGGCCAGTCATGGAGCCAGAGCTCTAGTGTAGCCTTTTGTAGTTTATCCGATTGCAAAAGTAAGTTTTCTCCAGTGTCTCCAAAACCAAATACCGTCACATTTCCTGAAATAAAATTCCGATTCATTTCCGGCAGACATACAGTGTTTATAGAGTAGTGTCTCTTTAGGGTTCGGTCCCGGAGTCGGTCAAAGGGTCGGTCCGTTTGAATCAAAGCCAAGTCCGCACCGCTCGACGCCTTAAATGTCTGGTTCACGTGTCGGGTTTGAAAGCCGGCGCTCCTGTACTGCGAGGCCCTTATCACCCATTTTCCATACCATTTACTGCATATTTGTATTTATTTAATTTAACAACAATTTACTAATCTATATATTGTATTGTTATTTACTCTTTTAAACAATGAGCGGCCGTTAAAACCCAATTCAAAGCAATCAATGAACCGGAACAGCTGTCAGCGTCCAAAACGGCCAGTGCTCTGAATTGAAAATTGATTGCCCATGGTGCCTCTAATGGTTTACCCGACACCACTGCGTCCTCACCATCCGCTATACGGTTTGAAGTGATGTCCGGTTCGTTCATATGATAGTAGATCTCTTTGTCCAGTATCTGAATCATTGAGTGATTGGTTAGAAAGCATTTCTTTGGATAATTTATATCAACTAAAATCGGTTCATATCTTAGACCGCATTCATCGGTATTTATGCCATATTTCTGGTGATTCTTGTAATCGCCTTTCGATACAAACTCTGCATTCATTACTGCAGTCAATTGTGAGATAATAAATATCTTCACAATGAAATCAATTGGAAATAATTTATTCATATTTAAAATCAAACACAAATACATTTGTGAGAAATGGTAGCAAAAAATTAAAATAGATTTCATATAATTATAACTGAAAAATATTGATAAAATTCAAAAGTTAATTGCATTTAAATGAAAGTTAAAACGCGAGAAATAAATAAAGTAAAACATTTCTTATTTAGAAAATTATTGATTGTATAAAAAATGTTTAAATATTAAATAATTCTAGAATATATAAATACAGTATATTTTATTCAACTTCTGTTCTGTTATTTGTTTTAGAATTAAATTAATTATTTGCTTTCATAATACAATTCTACAGAAATCGATAAAATATTTTAAAAATAAACTATTGCTAAAACTAAATATATATAAATTAGTAATTAAATATTACTATTAATTTAACGATTGAGTTATTATTATGAGTTACTACTATTGAGTTATGAAATATTGTTTGCAATGGTATCCAAAATCCATTGTATTTCATGCGATACATTGATACCAATTGCCAGACTTTGGCCACAAATACCTTTGGCATCTAAATCAGTAGATTTAGTGACGCCCGACACCACCGCCTGAGTGCCGTACCGATCGTTATAGTGTATCCAACCGCCGCCAGAATCACCCTTCAATTCATAAACTTATAAAATAAATAAATCGTTTAAAATTTGCAATTAAACCGATTATACCTGACAGAGCCTGCCTTTGATAAACTTGGCACAGAGTTTCTCAGTGCCATAATTCAAGTCACACCACAGTTCAGTCACAGAATCATAAGACCAGAGCTCTAGTATAGCCTTTTGTAGTTTATCCGATTGAAACATTAAGTTGTCTCCAGTGAACCCGAAACCAAATACCGTCACATTTCCTGAAATAAAATTCCGATTCATTTCCGGCAGACATACAGTGTTTATAGAGTAGTGTCTCTTTAGGGTTCGGTCTCGGAGTCGGTCAAAGGGTCGGTCCGTTTGAATCAAAGCCAAGTCCGCACCGCTCGACGCCTTAAATGTCTGGTTCACGTGTCGGGTCTGAAAGCCGACGCTCCTATACTGCGAGGCCCTTATCACCCATTTTCCAAACCATTTTCTGCATATTTGAATTTATTTAGTTTAACTCAATATACAATTCTATATATCAACACATGGTATAATCATTTACTTAGGCACACAATGTGCGGCCGTTAAGACCCAATTCAAAGCAATCAATGAACCGGAACATCTGTCGGTGTCCATAACGGCTAGTGCTCTGAATTGAAAATTGATCGCCCATGGTGCTTGTAATGGTTTACCCGACACCACTGCGTCCTCGCCATCCACTATACGATTTAATGTGATGTCCGGTTCGTTCATATGATAGTAGACCTCTTTGTCCAGTATTTGAATCATTGAATGATTGGTTTGAAAGCATTTTTTCGGATAACTTATATTAACTAAAATCGGTTCATATCTTAGACCGCAGTCATTGGTATTTATGCCATATTTCTGGTGATTATTGTAATCGCCTTTCGATACAAACTCTGCATTCATTTTTGCAGTCAATTGTGAGATAATAAATATCTTTACAATAAAATCAATTAGAAATAATTTATTCATATTTAAAAGCAAACATAAATTCATTCGTGAAAAATAGCAATAAAAAGTTCAATTATTTAATGATAACAAAATTCAAAAGCTATACTTATTTTTAAATAAAAGTTAAAACTCGAGAAATAATGTAAAATGTGTATTTAGACCATTTGTATCATACCTTAACAAAACAAAATGAGTAAACATTAAAAAATGAAATATTAAAATAAATTGAATGTCAAAAATAACTCAAATTTTAAAAAAGTATTTAAACTGGTATTTATATAACTGAAGAGACAATGGATTTGGGTTTGACTTGAAATTTCAATTCATTAAAAAAATCGAGATTTCGGACAACACGTATTTCGAGAACTTCATTGGGATTACAATTATTGCAATAATCTCTTAATTGTTCCACAGAAGTGATTGGTTTATCATTCACTGCAACCATAATATCATACGCTATGATATCATTACTGATATGAAACGATTAAAATAATTGACAAATAATTAAATTATTTTAAATTCTTATAAATTAATTGTAAATATAATTACAAAATCGAAGAACTTGTCATTAAATTTGCCCAAACAAAAAGTCCTCTATCTATAGGGCATTGAATATTTGGTCCGTAAATCTTTGTCCACAAATCTCTAGTCAATGGCCTGACGGCTAATCCCAACGATTTATTCTCATTATATGTGTATCTCTTCTCCAAAAACTGTTTCATTTCTTTAATAACACCTTTAAAACGACAAACAAATTAAATTAAAATACAATACAAACAATAAACTGATAATAAATACACAAACAAACCCTTTATATGTGAGGAACTAATGGAAAAATTATATCGAAAAGTGTTAAGTCCGCCCCAATTCAGGCCACCCACTCGTCCACTCATATTAATCAACGGACCGCCAGAGAAACCACCGTATTGTGGACTCGTGTGGCTTACGTACCGATTCCAACCAATTCTGGAAATACTCGTGAGTGTCGACCGAAATGGCATCGCCTTCACGACCAACACATGTGACCACACCATCGCATACACAGTAATCCAGTGCCGGATTTCCCACAATCATCACGTGTT